GGTGGTGGTGGCGGTGGTGGTGGTACGGCCCTCCCCACTGCGGTGCTCAACTGGGCCGGTGGCCGGGGTCTTTTCGCTTTCCTGCCGCTCCGCCTTCACATGGCCGTAGTAGGGATGGGCCTCCAGCGCCGTGCCATCATGGTGGGTCAGGATGGGTGCTTTGTGCGGGGTGACTTTATTCAGCCACTTGTCCAGCTGCCACTTGTTGGATGAGGGTGGCTCGGGCTGAAAGGGAAACAGATAGCAACGAGCTTAGTGCCAAGACCCTGCTGCCCTCGCTGGGGGGCTCCCTCAGGGACACCGAAATGCCAGGTCCCTCCTGGTACCACAGAGATTTTGCTCTGCTCAAGGAGCCACTCCCAAACTGTGGCAATCCCCTGGCCCTGTGCGGTGGGATAGGAGTCGTGGGACATGTCGTGCAAGTGAGGATATTTTTGGTTTCTGAATGAGGTTGTGAAGGAGGACGGCTTCCATGATTCATCATTTCTAAGGATGATTCAGGCAGTGTTACTGGCACTGGCTTTACTGGGAAATGCTCCCAAGTTTCCAAATAGAAGAAAATATAATGGTGATAGGAAGGGAGGAAAACAAGGCAGGAGTATGTCTGAGGCTAAGGGAGGATGCCTAGTAGGAAAGCTAGGGATATGTATTTCGTGTCCTGTGCCATTGCAATAAATATGAAAAGTATTTTAAAAGTATACAAAGAGGTATGTAGTGGGGAGCTGGAGGACTAACCAGGCGGTTTGTGTAATCTCTCTGCTATTGACATTACAATCCTGTGAGATCCCACAAACATTTGTTTTGTGGTGGTATTGTCAAGTGCTCATTCTGTGAGTATTGTGCGGCTGTTAGTTTTTCTCTTCATTCTTGTCACAACACGATCAAGTTATAAGACAGCATCTAAAACATAATGGTGTTTGGACAGTGAAGAAGTGGGATAATTATGATTTCAAATGTAACCACAGCTCAGACAATGTTATTTCAGAACAATGTGCAAGTGTTTTCTAGTGCTTCTTGCTATCAGTAATTTGAATGTAATAAAACGAAGAGGAAAGGCAAAAAAAACCCCAAAAGAAATAAATGATGGAGTAGACGGCCAGCCATAACCTAACGCCATAGAAGCCAATGTAAGAAGTCGCTTAATTTCCTTAACTGGAACCAAAGTTTGATCCACTAGGCTATTGCATATGAATAATCAAGAAGTGTGTCATGAGTCTAACATGAAAACCATCAATGCTCGGGAAGAAAGTTTGCTTAAGAGAGAATATCCACAGTCTCTAACTTAAAAGAGTCTCTTACTTAACTCCTTACTTAAAATAGCTGCCTGAGGGCAACACAGGTTTCCTGCATAGTGTCTCCAGAATCACCCACTGAGGGTTGTATTCACTCTACATGGAGCAAAGGCTCCTAAAATAAATAAAAAAAGTTAGGCATTGGAATTCATATGATACAAATATTCCTTCTCGCAAAAGTGTCTAATTTACTCATTATCAAGCTAGCCAGTACCTATGGGAAGTTTGCTGTTTGCTGAATTGCTTTAAGTTTATTTTTTCTTAAGCATACTCCCTAATATCTTACATAAGGAATTTCTTTCCTGAGCTGGAAATCTCAAAAATGGATGGGCAGTATTTCTTTTGGATGAAGATATATTTTTACAACTCTTAACTCTTTATCTAAAATAAACCGCATTTTTTTTTTTTGATTGCTGATGAAAGTACAGATAGATTTGTTTGGTGCCGGTCATTGTGCACTGAATTTGCTAGATATATAATAAAAGGTTAATTATTCATGGAAGTATGCCCACTGTTCAGGTGTTATTGAGAAAGGGATATACATCAGGAGCATGTGGGGAGAACTATACCTCTGCCCATAAGTATAGGTCAGCTTTAAAGTTAAAAAAAAGCTTCCAGCTTTTCTGTTGCATCCCATTCTGCCTCTTTATGTACCTTGTAATTCTTGAAAACAGTGGTTCACAAAATATGAATTTCAAGGGATCAGAGTAAACCAGCAGAAAACAGTGATTAACTGCTACAGTGTCATAACTTGGCAATGTGGTACTTTCCTACAGTGTTATGTCTGCTATTTAGGCAGAATAACTGCAGCCCCACCAACCTATAACCAATTATGAAGCCTAATAAAACGGTCAACAATGTTGTCAGCTTTACTAATTTTGTCAGGACTTTCAGGACACTCGTTATTTTTCCTAAAAACCTCAGCATTCAGAATCATGGGCTTAGATGCACATCCAGGGATTATTTAAATAAAAATTCAAATCCTTGTGGCTGCTGAAATACCCTTAAGAAGTGTCTGCTAAGAAAACCTTTTAAGATGCATCTGCTGAAAGTAAAAAGCCTGCAGCCCATAAGGGAAATTAAAAGAACCCAAATTTAAAAGATCAGAATTTTACAACTTTTCTCACTATTTTTGGGCCCTGGTACAGTTTTGGAATATTTGAGATTTTCAGTGTCCGTGAGTGATGCCTTTTGGTAGTAATTTATTCAATTGATTGCTCTAACTGAAAAGTACCGTACTTTGAAATCACTTAAAAAACCAAGGTACCTTGCAAGACAAGAAAATCATCACAGCCAAGAATAAGGAGCAGGCCTAGTAAAAAAAGGGATTGGGAAAATGAACTTGAAAGTTTTCGCCAGTCCACTTTACATATCTAACTGCAATTATTTGTGGGAGAAAAAGAAAATCCCTAATTCTCCATTCCATACCACCCCCCTGAGTGGGTCATATAACATTCTATGGAAAAAAAGTTGGTTTGCTTGAAGTGGGACATTTTCAGCAGCGTGTAAGGATGGAAATATATACAAATATACATCCAGAGTGATCAGGTAGCAGAAGGATCTCTGTTCCTTAGTTTTTTTGTGTCAGGGAAATATATTGCCCGCCAGGCCTTGAAGAGAACTGGGCAGTTTTTAATTGGGGTAAAGTTGGTGGTGCCCCTATGGGCAGCAGCAATGGGAATAACAGCCATCTGTGGTGAAGCTGACTTGCATTAAATGTGGGTTTGGCATGAAAACCCAAACCAGGAAACTTTACCAGACAAAGATAGTTCCAGGGACCAATGCATCACAGGCGTACACATGTTCCAGGCTTCATCGAGAAACAGAAGGATGCGATACACTTCCTTAAAAATTGTGGGTGGATTCATCTGTACAACATAGACACCTATATCTGAGCTAGTTAACGAGTTCCTTCTCCAGTCAGTGGACTACTCTTCTAGGGTGTGAAACGTTCCCTCTTGAAATAGATATCTGAAATAGGCCAGATGAGCTGGGCCCTAAAAACGTCTATTCCTCTCCACCGACTGTAAAGGGGAGGCCGAGGTGATGAGCAGATGTAGGTATCTATAGTACAAGTGTCCAAATCTCGGTGGGATGACTCCCACACAGCACATCTATGTATCTCAGATTTCTTCAAGGCTACAAGTGCAACCAGAATGCATGCATCCAGAGTGCAACCACAAATGGCATGCATCCAAAAGAAATCTTTGTCAAAATATTACCCAGGAACACTTTGTGGGGTGAAGGGCTGTTAAACAGTTCAAGTGTAATGAGGTCAGTCTATGCTTGTTATTAAAAAAAGGGACTGAAGGTGTAGCTAATACTACAGTAAACTTGAAGCATGACACCGCTTTCATTGAGAGATTAGATAGCCTATAATATGTGCATACACTTAGCCAACTGTGGGGTGGGACTGAGCTACCAGCCAACCCTGCAGTATACTCAGCCTATTGTAAATGCACATACTAATTTACCCTTATGATACTTGCGTGTGCTGGCCTGCCATAAAAGACTTCATTGAGGGCAATCCCCATACAAATGTGGTGCCTTTCCATTGTATTTAAGGCATAGATGATGATGATGAAGAAGAAGAAGAAGAGGAGGAGAAGGAGGATTATTATTATTACTACGACTACTTTATTGCTACTGTTAGTACTGCTGATAGCGTTTTATCAAATTAGAACTGGGGATTCCCATGTGTTAGGCACAGCACACACAAACTGTAAGAGGTGGCTCCTGCCACAAGGAGTTTTCTGGAGGGAAGGGTGAGTTTAGTTTGTAGCTATTGCCAAAAATAGTCCACAGGACAGCTAAAGCCCATGAATCCTATTTGCAAAGGTAAAGATTTCTGCAGTGGGTCTAGTGGTAGAATCCCCTTTTTTTCTGAGTGTATCAGACAGGAAATTGAATCATGGCTTTAATTAAGATGGGAGGCAAAAACTTTTTGGAAAACGAGACAGATGATAAAGAAAACATACCCCTCCCACCCCACAACCCTAAAACTACAACTCTTCTTCCCCTGCCTCCCTAATGAAATCTATCAGCGAAGAAAGGCTGGTGAGGTGACAGGAGCACGCTCACCAGTTAGCTGGTCTGTTAGATACACACATTCTTCCTATTTTCTGAGCTAAAGAGAAGAGAGCCAATGCCACACAGCACCTGAGGGAACAGCAGGGATTCACAAGCAGTGGCTCCTCAGCCACTGGTATTGATGTCCAGGCACTTGAAGGACTTGATGCACAGTGGTCAGGAGGTGGCTCTCTGCTGATGAGAGAGGAAGGTGGGGAAGAGCACAACCCTACAAATCCCTTCAGTTTTGACCTGGTCAGTCACAACATGGGGACTTGAGGTGAAAGAGTATATCCTGTGACGGCGGAATAAGCATGGACAAAAAGTATATTTGAATCCTTGAAAAAGAGGAAAAAACTTTAATGGCTGTGAACTAGTCAAAACAGTGGAGGCTGTAAAGGACATTGCATCTGGTACGTGAGGCTGACGGGATGCAGGACAGGACACCTCTCTCTTCTGGCCTGCTTACTGTTGACTAGCCACTGATGCTTTGTCCCGTGTGATGGCTTGTCTACTTCCTTCCTGCCCAATTCCCCCTCTAGTCCTCCCTGCATAGTGAGAATTCCCAGTTGTCTAACCAGATTCAGCCTTATTAAAGGTCTGCAGAATAATTCAATGGAACAAAGAACAAACAAACTAAATTATTAGCTTTTGAAATGTAGCTCTTTCCATGGACTTGACACCCAAGTTTTTTTTCTACCATCTGAAATAATTGCAAGGACAAGACGTCATTGTTTTCTGGAGTCCTCATTTATGACGTTAATTAAGATCATGCAAAGAATTCATGACTTCAGCAAGGAAACAGGAGATAGAAGCCTCAGTCCCTTGTTCATAATTTCAGGTTTGGCAGTCAACAAAACTGTAACTATTCACATTAATGTCTGAGGCACCTTAATTTGTCCACCTCACTGAAACCAGTCTGAATGTTGTCTCCTGTTCTGGCTCAGCCATTATTCTTAGTTTACTGCAGACATAAAGTGTAGACAGCTGAGCTAGTCACTACAGGCTCTAAACAGTCAATGGAAAGAAACAGACACTTTTAGGGTGCAATTCATCTAATCTATTTTATATGTATGCTTTACAATGAGCTGATTTTACACTCTAAGCAACTGCATTTAGACACTTGAGAAAGATTTCAAAATGAGATGAGGAAAAAACACAGAAGAAATGAAACAGCAATTGAATTTCTGTATAACCTCAAATGTAGAAGGCACGCTGTCCTAGAAATAAAAATCTTTGAGTATATTCATATAATATTTCAGATTATGAAAAAAAAAAGAAAGAAAGAAGGCCTCATAATGATCTGCAGATTTCCACATTAAGTTACTCCCAACCTGGAAATATGGATATCCTGCGCAGCATTGTGCTGGAGTACTCAAGTTCGTTGTACCTGAATTTATCAGTTTATGCTAAAGCAAAAGCAGAGATGTATTTGTTTTTTCTATCTTATCCAACAGATTAAATTAATTTTAAGACTGGCATTGAGTACGCTACTTAAATTTAGGTGTACAGGTTCTCCCTTTAAAGAGCTTCCAAGGACCTGTCTCTCTCCATTTACCGGGTAAGAACATGGCATGTACTTTAGAATGATGGACAGTGGGATTTAGTGCACCCTCAGCAAGTTTGCCAATGACACCAAGCTGTGTGGCATGGTCGACATACTGGAGGGAAGGGATGCCATCCAGAGGGACCTTGACAGGCTGGAGAGGTGGGCCTATGCAAACCTCATGAAGTTCAACAAGGCCAAGAGCAAGGTCTTGCACCTGGGTCAGGGCAATCAAGCACAAATACAGGCTGGACTGTGAATGGATCAAGAGCAGCCCTGAAAGGAAGGAGTTGGGGGTGTTGGTGGATGAGAAGCTCAACATGACCTGGCAATGCATGCTTGCAGCCCAGCAGGCCAATTGTATCCTGGACTGCATCAGAAGTGTGGCCAGCAGGTTGAGGGAGGTGATTCTGCCCTTCTACTCCGCTCTTGTGAGACCCCACTTGGAGTACTGTGTCCAGCTTTGGAGTCCTCAGAACAAGAAGGACATGGACCTCTCAGAGCAGGTCCAGAGGAGGGCCACAAAGATGATCAGAGGGCTGGAGCACCTCTCCTATGAGGAAAGGCTGAGAGAGTTGGGGTTGTTCAGCCTGGAGAAGAGAAGGCTCCATGGAGACCTTATTGTGGCATTCCAGTACCTAAAGTGTGCCTACAGGAGAGCTGGGGAAGGACTTTTTGCAAGGGTATGTAGTGATAGGATGAGGGATAATGGCTTTAAAATGGAAGAGGGTAGATTTAGATTAAATATTAGGAAGAAATTTTTCATTATGAGGGTGGTGAGGCACTGGAACAGGTTGCCCAGAGAAGTTGTGGAGGCCCCATCCCTGGAAGGGTTCAAGGCCAGGCTGGATAGGGCTCTGAGCAACCTGGTCTATGGGAGGTGTCCCTGCCCATGGCAGCAGGGTTGGAACTAGATGATCTTTAAGGTCCCTCCCAACCTAAACCATTCTATGATTCTGTGATTCTAAGATGGCTTCACTAGGTGCATAAGTGTAAGTTAAAGCATTAATACAAAGCAGACAGGACTTCGAGTCAAAGACATCATATAGACATATTTTGAACATCAGTCATGTGATGGGCCTGGGAAAGCACTGGCCCTTGGGGAAAGCGCAGGTATCCTACTTCCCTGGGACACCCTGTCCCTATTCATGTGTGGCCTTTCCCATATCCCATCAGGGCACGACCTACGAAAACCACTGCAGCTATCACACTTTGAGTCATTTACATTTTTGTATAACTATGTTTCATACAGCATGTCCTAGAAGACAAGCCACACAAATATAATGCAAAGAGACAAGCAATCTGTTGGAGCAGTGCAGCTGTTTCGTGACAATGATCACTCAGGCTCTGTACAAAAGTAGTTCCACGGATCTCGAGAGAATATGTATAAAATGCTTAAGAGGAGGCACTTCCTCCACGTTTCCATGCCTCTCAGTCCCTTGCTCGACTTCATGAAGTCCATGACCTGCCTCAGTTAATTAACTTCCCGCATTCCCTGAGGAATGGCTGCTCTCAGGTCCAAGCAGCTTGGCTATCTTCCTATATAGTAAACACTCCCCCCTTCCTGGGTACTATGCTTCTCCTCTTTTTATCTCATATTTCCTTCCCCCCAACAATGGTTCCTTCTCTTTCTTCTTTTTATCCCTTTTCTTCCACCTTCTGAGATCCCGCAGGGACAGGAGAGACCGAGCGTGAGATCTCTGCACTAATTCCAGCAGGGAACTAGGCAAAGAGAGAGAATAAGGTCTTAACAGGTCGGATGAGAGCGCTCAGAATGGGAAACAAGACATGGGGTAGTGCAGGGAGGGCAACAGGGAAAGTTACTGGCAGGAAGAGAATAGAGAGGAAAGGAAAGAGAACCAGAGAGAGAGATTTTGGAAAGGGACAAAGTGAGAGGAAAATTAACTGGAAATGGATCTGAAAGTACTGTGAAGGAAAGATAGAAAGGAAGATAAGTGTTAAATAAGGAAAAAAAGTGACAGAACCTGAGAAAAATATATTAAGAAAGTTTCTGCGAGTGCTGCGTTTTCCCTGATAGGAAACACGCCCCCCCTCCCCCCCCAATAACCGAGCAAAAGATGAGGAAAGGTTTGCTGGTTATTCAGTATAATTTTTCAGGGTGAGAGAATAGGTAAGGCATAGTTTTGCAGGGAGGAGTCTGGTGATCGGATGCTTTATGTGGAGTAGGAAAATACACTGACTGTATTTCATGTGTGTTTACAAGCTTGCTGCTAGATTTTTGAATATTTTTACATACATTAATGTGTGTGATGTGGCTGTGGAGTTCATGGTTTTATATCGACCAAAACATGTGAAAACATCAATCCTGGTAGAAAAGCAGAGCAGAAAAAGCAGCCTTGTTGTGCTTGTCGTGTCTGTGGAGCACTCTGCAGAGGTGAAAGCAGAAGGTGGCAGAGCACTGGCAGCTTAATTGTAATTTGGCTAAGGGTTGTCTACATGTGGAAATTTTCAGTACTAGCTTTCCAGATGACAAGTTTGGGCTTAATGTTTTGCACCGTGAGTAATTCAGTTTAGTCCATTTTGGAGGTGGAATAAAACAAATCACACAAAGGCAGCAGTAGTAGAGATTAATTCACTTAGAGAGTGAGGTGATGGAAGTGCGTGAGTGAAAAACAACTGTTTTGCTTAAAAATCCACCGTCAAACTGATTTTATAATAGCTCCCCTGTGTTGTGGGGAAGCCTTTAGTTCCCCTGCAGTGCTGGGAGCCCACATCAGGACTTACGCACTAAGCAAGCCATTGCTATGGAGGCAGAGTTGCGTAAAAGTTCAAGCAAGCTGTGAGCCTTGCAAGGCGCTCCACTCGTCTCCAATTTGAGGAAAATATCACAGGGTTATTTCCTTCTTCATTTTTGTTTCAAATGCTTTAATCTGCCCCAGGATCCCCTGCCACTTGCATTTCACAGCATGCCAGGAGGAGGATCCCTGGGCTTTTCTCTTCCATTTTTTTTTGAGCATGTCCCCACAGCCTCCTTTTGTTGGCTTGGCTGGAAAAAGGTCTGAGTGGGTGTAATAACGGATTGGTGCCCTAAATAATAAAGAGCAGAAGCCCTTACCTCTGGGCTGGAGTAATGCGAGGGCTTGCTGCCGTCACTCTCGCTGGAGCTGCTTTCGCTCTCTGAGTCAGACTCTGAGCTGGTCTCGGATTCACTGGAGCTGCTGCTGCTCGACCCCTTGCTGGAGAGTCCCGAGGCTCGGGCGTTGGACTGCGGCACCACCAGGCTGCCAGCCCCACACACAGCCCACCGGGGAGGGGAGAGGGAAGAGAAGAAAACAAGAACATAAAAAAACCCACATGTAAAAACCATGGCGTTTCAGGTAGTGTACCTATCTGAATGCCTGCGAGCTTGTCCCTGCCACTAATGAATGGTGAAGTGAGTTCAACATGACGTTATTATAATTGGGGGGGAAATATGGGGTCACGTTCATATCAATTTGAATCCATAGCCTTTGCCATCTCTTCTTCATATGAGGGAGGGTGAAGTTTTCATTTCAGCTTGTCTCTTTTTTCATCCAACAGGCATTTTAGGATATATTAAAAATATCAAACATTAAAAAACAGTACAGAAAGCAGTGTTACACAGTCTAATGAACATTCTGCACAGAGGTGAAAGCAGGAGATGAAAAAGGTGAAGAGTTAGGAAACGGAGTTGAACTCCACACAGAGTACCAGTCATTTATAAGTAGTAATAGCAATAGCAATAATAATAACAGTAATAATAGATCCTCACTGGAGCTTCTGACCCCCATCTTTTGTTCTGTACCTACCCATAAATGATGTGGTTACCTGTATATACCATCTTGATATTGACAACTGCAAGATCTAAGACTCTGATCCTGCAAAAACTTGAAGAGCTCAGGCTTGTGTTTTTGCATGTCAGCAGTGCAGTGCTGTCAGCAGAGCTGCTTGCCTTCTTAAAAGTTATGTTTGCATGCAAGTGTTTGTATTATCAGGCCTGACAGCAGAAGAAATGTATACTTTCCTGAAATAGTTGACCATGCATATTAAAAATATCACAGTCATAAAGACTTGAGTGTGAAATGTCCTATTAAGTCATCCAGCTTATTCCCCAGGCAATGGAAGATTGTTCCCTATAGCAGGGTGCATTTGCTAGTGAGTTGTCCAATTTGATTTTAAATGACTTGAATGCAGCTTTTACTTTCACCCCTGGGAAACTTCTCTGCAAACTAACCCAAATTCCACTGTCAGAAATTTCTCCCTACATTCAACCTGAAGTTGCCCTTTTTAAATTTATTGTTGTTACTTATTATTTCATCCTATTACTAATAGTTACTATGATAAATTATCCTCCTCCCTTTTTGCTTTCACGTATTTGAAGACTGTTTTCCTGCCCTACTTCAGTCATCTTTCAGACAAGGCCTTACACATTTACTTCTTCTGATCTTTCTTCATAAGTCATTATCTCCAGGGATATGGGATCATTTTTATGGCTCTTTTCTGAACTCATTCCAATTTGTCTATATCTCTCTGATAACAGGATGCCCAAAACAGAGTGCAGCATTATAGATGGGTTCTCACTAGAGCCCTACAATGAAGGGCTATTACCTTCCTGCTCCTTGATGCGTTGCTTCTGTAAACATATACCCGAGCTGTGATGGAATATATAGTCCATTAACACTCCTACATCTCTTTCAACACTGCTTTCTCCAGAATTCCTCCACTGATAGCTACTTTTTAGATTATTTCCTTCCAGAGAGATTAGCTTGCTTTTTTTCTTCATACCAGATCTCATTTTCTTCTTTACCACACATGCTTCTAGTTCCTTTTGATTTATTTCTCTGCCCTCGGAGGTGTCTGCAGCAACTTCTAATTTAGTATCAAATGCAAACTTAATTAAATGGTTATTCACTTCCTTTTCCAGATCATTAATGAGACCGTTAAATAAACCCCACATGAAGCACACCAGTACCCTAATAACCGTCTCTTCCCAACTCCATTCATTGGTGTTTATCATTACCCATGTTTATGCTCCATCAGTCCAGTATTGTGGCTAATGCAATGTGATCTTGGAGATGCATTTTGTGAGAAATAATATCTAATAATTAATTACAGTTCTGCTATGTTGCACCTAATGAATTGTCTTTACCTGCTAATGGTGCCTTCCATTTGGGAAAGCCGGTACCTGACACCTGACACAAGCCACATATGACAGGCAATTTCTGGGGCTTTGAAAAGAGGCCAGGCCATGGGAGATGCGGCTTCAACTCCCTGATTCCCCACGGCTGCGTGCTTCCTGGCCCCATCCCTGCTTCCCCTAGCATCTGCCAACCTTTTCCCACTGGACCACCTGTCTTGCACAAGCCAGTACTCCCACCACATCGCCTTTACTTATAACTATACCCCTTGCCTTTTGCGAGGAAGCAGCACAGCTGCCCAGGGCTTTCATCGTGCCGCTGTTGGAGAGCTTTCTGCAGCCTTCGAGGCACAGCAGGGCCAGGCAGTGCAGAAAGCCTCACCTGTGATCTCACCTTACTGATTAAAGCAAGTAAAATAAACAGGAGAGGGAGGAGCTGACAGCCGTTCATAGTTTTGACCTGTGTTTCCATCTTTGTAACCATCAGGTGGTAGAGAAAGGCGACAGTAAAAGCTCGTGCTCCGGCAGGATGGCTGGGTGCTACACGCACGTTTGCAGAAGTGCCTGCCAGGTCTTGGGAGGCAGGAGGTCTGTCATCATGCACGGACATTAAACGTACCAATTACAATGAGTGCCTTCAAAAACTGGCCCTTTGCTATTTTTGCTGGTATTCATGATATTTCTTTGTCTAGCCAGGTAGGTGTGGTTAATACAAGATTTTCAGGCAGCCATTTGTATAACAGCATTAAGGCACAGAGGTGCCTGAAAGAGAAACAGCTTATAAGCTTGTAAAAGTTTTCCTTCCTGGAGAAAGAAAATTGATGTTTTGTACACCGCTTTGGGACAATGCAGTTTTCCACTTGTTGCCCAGCAAACTCTAGATATAAGTTGCTCACTTATATTAACAGATTACAGTCAATCCCTTGCTAATAAAATAGTGAGAGCTACATAAAGGCCATTGTGAGTAGGTTTTCTGGGTTTGATTTTTTTTTCTTCTTTTTTTTCTTAAGGAAATATGAAAAGGTAACTGCCTTTTCTGACAGTGTAGCTCAGGGAATGCTTTTGACAGTGTCCAACTCTGATGGATTTCCAGTCCTCTTCAAAACAGCATTGTGACTGTTGCCTGAAAAGTTCTTCAACATCACAAAACATCTGCACATTTATGTCCTGCCCCTAGTGACTGTGGTTTTAATTTTTAAACCATCATTTTTGTTTGGCATTGACTGAAATATTCAGAATTGCTATATAGGGGATGAGGGAGAAAAAAAACCCACAGTAATATTTCTTTCCTGTTGTGACAGGAAATGTTTTTCTAGGCTGCTGAATAGGAATTGTTACTACAGCCATAGATATAAAATATAACTGTTGGACTCTTCACAAACATCTGGAAATCTATGTTTGCTGCTCTAATGGTAGCCAGTATACTACAAAAATTTAACATTACAATATTTTCCCATTTATGCTGATACTGTTGAAGTCTCCTGTCCCCCTTCTACCTTTTCCATTTTTAAACATAGCATATTCTTATAAGGATCCTCATTATATTATAGTGACCAGGGTGAAAACAGTTACATGTTTCTTCATGCATTCTTATTAAAAAACAACCATTATTTTAAATTGGTGACTTCCATTTTGGACTGTTCTTTCTAAAGTATGTAAGCAAGCTCATGCAGTCAAAATAAAAGGCCGATTTACATTTTAATGATTGTGGCACATAACATTCATGCATATTTTGCTACTGGCTTATGCCCCAGAGTTAATTACTACATCATAGAAATGATATTTTTATTTTAAGCAATTAAACAACAATTTGGGTAAGAACCACTTTTCTTTAAAGCTGTTGTGGTTTAACCCCAGCTGGCAGCGAGGACCATGCAGCCGCTTGCGCAGTTCTCCCCCTTCCCCTAGGAAGAGCATGGAGAAGAGGGGGAAAAGGAGGGGAACAGGAAAGGAAAAAACACTTGTGGGTTGAGGTAAAGACAGTTTAATAGAACAACAATGGAAAAGGAAAATAACAATAACAATAATAGTGACACAAGTGGTATGGTATGGTATGAGTTTCAACAAGGGCAAGTGCCAGGTCCTGCACTTGGGCCACAATAACCCCATGCAGCGCTACAGGCTTGGGGAAGTGTGGCTGGAAAGCTGCCCAGCAGAAAGAGACCTGAGGGTTCTAATTGACAAGCAGCTGAATATGAGCCGGCAGTGTGCCCAGGTGGCCAAGAAAGCCAACGGCATCCTGGCTTGTATTAGAAACAGCGTGGCCAGCAGAAGTAGGGAGGTGATTGTGCCCCTGTACTCAGCACTGGTGAGGCCACACCTCGAGTATTGTGTCCAGTTTTGGGCACCTCAATACAAGAGAGATATCGAGGT